TAGAAATCCATAACGTTTAGCATTTTCACGGTCTCACTGCATTGAAAAGGTACTTAACTAGTTCAAATATTTGAATGTCAATATTGTCAAGTGGCCAATAAATGTGAGCTTTGCATTTCAAAAGAGTGAAAACAAAAGTGACTCACAATTGGATTGTGCTAGATTTTTGGGAAGCATGATGTATATCATATAGTGTGTGCGATCAGATATATCATTTGCTATTTTGAATTGAGTCCGTTCACAAGTGATCCCAAATAAATTCATTAGATGACAACAAATAGAGTTTTGGAAAACATAAAATAATACTTAAAACTATGTCTTGCATTATAACAATATCCAACAATATTGAAAGATATAGTGATGCAAATTGAATCATCAGAAGAATGAAGTAAAATTCACGAGTGGATATGTATATACTATTGGTAGAGGAGCAGTCTCTTAGAAATATTTCAAATGAGACATGTATCACTAGCTCTACAATGATCTTTGAGCTAGGTGCTCTAGATAAGGTTGGTGAATAAGTTAAAAAACTCCGGAATTTCTTGAAAAATATTCTATTTTTGCCCAAACCATTGGCATTAGTATGTATACACTTTCACAGTAAAAATGCAATAGGTAGGGCATAGAGCATGACGCATAACGGAAAGTCTCGTCATATACGACATAGACATGATACTGTTAGAAAACTACTCTCTAGTGGAATTATCATAATTGATTATGTAAAGTCAAAGGATAATGTGTCGGATCCACTTACAAAAAGGCCTAACTAGAGAGAATGTTAAAAGATCATCTAAGGGAATGAATTAACGGCGTAGGACAAGTCATCATGGCGGTAACTCTATCTAGCAGACTGGAGATCCCAAGATCTAGATTCAAGGAGAAAAACAAAGTTATGAATGACGGTTCGATATTATCAATAAACTCAATCCATTCTCATGATGAAGACAATGCTCAGGGACAAGGATACAAAATTAAGGCTTGCTAATGAGTTAATAAAGCTTAATGGTTTTAATGATTTGCTAAGTTTGGCAGAGTTGACCAAATAGTGTATCTACGCGATAACACGGTTAGAAATCAACTATGTGAGTGTGAAGTACAAGTCGCTTTAAAGAAGATGATTGTCAAAATCCTATCTCTCTATACACTCATGAAACCAGGAGGTGTTCATGTCTAAAACGAACACAACCGTAAGAACCATAAATGGTAAAGGGTTAATTGTGTGACATATGGTTGTCTAGGTATACACCAAAGTTCGACGGTTCAAAGATATCACATCTACCGATTGACCGAGTATCTCCGACATATGTTCACTACAGAAAGTCCAAGGGGAAACCTACTTATCCAAATGCAATTAATTCTTGCTTGTAAAGTACACATACTTGTCCGTTTCTTTGTCTTCGAGTCATTCCCCAATCATGCGGGGGATTTTTGGATATTAAAAAGGTGTGAATGGAAAATGAAGAGTTGCGACTTTGATGAAGAGTTGTGACTTTTATTAAATGTTGCGACTTTTATGAAAAGTTGTGACTTTTATGAAAAGTTGCAAATTTTATGAAAAGTGGTGACTTTTATGGAAAGTTGTGACTTTTATGAAAGGTGACGACCTTTATGAAAGATTGTGACTTTTTTAAAGGTTTGTGACCATTCCGATAAGGCACAATAAGAATCTTTTCGTACTATCCTTTGTTGTCTATAAATTGAGGGATTTCCTCTTATTTTAAATATACTTTATGGACTTCTTCTTCAACTACTAAATCTAGTATTCTAAGTGTACTTTACTGCCATTGAGTGGTTCGCTGACACAGGAGTTTTTGGTATCTATACTTTGGTGATTGAGATCATTTTACCCTGGGAGGTCTTATTCCAAATCAAACCTCGGATACTAGAGGGGAATAATTTCCTTAAGGGGACACTGTGAATTCAGTGGACTTGATCTTTTTCCTATTAAAATTTTTCCAGATTCTGGTATGTGTTTTACACACTTTAGATTTGTTAATTAATTTCAGTTCTTCTATTCATTTGTTCTTCACTGGTTCATTAAACTTGGTAACTTCGTGTTTCTACAAAGTTTGTTGGAATCAGTAAGATTCTTTAGACACATATTAACAACAATTCTTCTTAAAGAAAAATATTTCGTATTTTTTTTAAAAAAATATGTTTCTGATTCTAGTTTCGCTACTAGTTTTAATTTTCTAGTTGTGAAAATGTTCTTAAACTTTGTTTTCTTACAAAGATGTTCAAAGTTTTGTTCTACGTATGTTTGGAATACAAGATGAACAACACTAAATTGATAACCATTTGATACATGAAACCCTATGCATGTTGTGTCCTTGGAATTTTTCAACCATTATACATAATCTTATTATTTAATTCTTGCATTCTTCTCTTTAAAATTAAAAATCAAACACTCTTAAATAAATAATTAGACTAATAGGTAACTGAATATTCCTTTGGGTTCGATAATTCAATTATTTTAAGAGTCACTATATTACTTGTGCAACCACCTACACTTTTTGTGCAATTGGGCGCTACACTTCTACTTGTGAAGGAAATGAATGCAACTGTTTTTGTACTTAAATCTTCAAGCGCAAGGTTGAAACTCAAAGTATTCATAGCATCAAAAACTACAGAAAGTGAGTCTTTTTAACTACCTAGAGTTAAGATTCAGTTCTTCCCCCTGACTTTGAATTAATATTGATTGAAATACAATTTGACTTAGAAATGCTTCTTTCCTCACAGTCTTGAATGTGATTATGTATATCTTCCTCATTTTGAGATTTTTAGCTTTCCAGAACAATTGCTAGTTTCTTTATTTTCATTTTATCATTATATTGTGTTCCCTAGAAGTGTATTTTTCATATTTAGAAATCTGCACAATTATGATATATAATTTACAGTGGGCATTCCGATAATCGAGGAATTAAGAATTTGAAATATTTAAACGTAAAGTAGGGGCGTAATTATGTAAATTTTAAGAAATCACAAGAGTGGACAAACTAAAGGTAAAACTCAGCATTTTCTCGGATTCACTAGCAACCTCGTGTCTGCTTACTAATAATGAAAATGAATCACATATATTGATTGTTATGTACGAACATTATATGATAACTAACAATCCAATCTGGGTAACTATTTTCTGATGAATTCTGTCTTTGTTATCATCTAATTAGTGCATATAACCAAATCATCCTATTGAAAGTTTAAGGTGGAAAAATTGGTGTGCAAAATTGAACTGTCCTGAGTATAATCTCAAGATGTTCTGATGATTTGTCTGAGTTGTTTTATTTGGAGTAGTCTTTCTCCTTTTTAGATCATACCAGAAAAATTCCTACAATGGCTAATGATCGTGTCCAAATCAGTTGCCTCACTGATACACTGGGGCTATTGTCTGACGTGATCAGTGAGAATTTTCCTCACAACTCTCAAAAGTTATGTTCTTAATGACAGGGTTGAGTTACAACACCCAACAACATCTATAAAGCAAGTTACTGGTGAGGAAACGAGAGGTACAATTAATGATCCAGAAAGGTTGTCTATGATGAAGCAACTATTGTGCAATGTACTTAGATGTAGACATAAAATTAAGAATTCTAAGATAATAGTATATGATGAAGTCTCTTATACCGAGAAAAGACCTTCACAAACTAATTTTTGTAGACCAAGATTATGAACATACTTCAGGTGAAGTATTGGATGAGAAAAAGAGGCCTAATGTGAGTGCCCTTAATTGGTAAGATAAGGACTACTCTGTTGTGACAATCCGGTGGAAGGATATACCAAACTTTTGTTTGATACAATTTTTACATTGACCGATTTTTCAATAAGTTGTTTTCTGTCACGCCCGAGCCTACACCCTGGGCGGGACTGGCACTCTACAATCATTGTTGGCCCCAAGCGAACTCTTGTCCTAACTTACTTACTTAGCGGAAGACTTAAACCAATAAACATAAAGTTTTGAAATATACTGGAATGATATATAGGAACATTCAACTTGGCCATTAAGGCAAACCCAAGTCTTAACAAAAGATAATGACAATGAAAAGACTAAAGAACTAACATCTAACTTTCTATGAAGCCTCTAAAACGACTATCTCTTTATGTTTAAGACTATAACCTCTTATAATGGTTTGAGATAATTTCTCAAAATTTAGCTCAAAAACTATCTTGGATAACTAAATTTCCTCTCTTGCTTGGTAGTAAAAGCATTTACTCTTTACTGAAAACTAGCTTAAAGACTCTTTTGAAAATCAAAGTTCCCTTTCTTCTTTAAATGTGAAATCATTTACTTATTACCCAAAGAAACTAGCTCAAAGGTTCTTTTTGAAATCAAGTTTTCCTTTCTTCTTTAAATGTGAAAACATTTGTTCTTTGGGAATACATATTCCTGATATATTCTTTTGAAGAAATGAGTTCAATATTTATTCTTTTCTCAACTCAAAACATAAGTCTTAAAATAAAGTAAAAACATCTGTAAAATAGTTTTGAAAACTTTATGATTTTCTTTTTTGCTTGCTTCTTAACTTCTAGACTTCTCTCTTACTTCTCTTGACTTTGATCTTATCTTTCCTTGAATTGGATTATGGATTAAAGATTCACGATATCATATTTATGGAAGATTTTATGTTGTTTAGATGTACCTTACACTACAACATTTTAGGCCTACGGCCACACTAAATCTGACCAACACTTGTTAAGTGTATACTAAAATATTTTCGGGAACACTTTTAAAGTGTGGCCTAAAGTTTTTACTTTTGGCATCGATAATATTGGAAACACTTAAAAAGTGAACCCTTTAATGGTATAGGCTATAAAGTATTGTCGTAGTGTGAAATAAATGGCAACAACTATTTACATACATGGCCACACTTTTAAAGTGTACTATTTTTATAATTGAAAAAATGATACCTTAAAAGTATGGACTAAAACTTTTCACTAAAATATCATATTCCCTCCAATATTTTCAACTCTCCTTCCCATTTTATTGGTCAGAAAAAGTAATTAATAAAATATTAACAAAAAAAATTCCTCACGCGTTACTCTTTCTCTCACACTTATCTCGCTCTTTGTTCTTTCCTATCTCCAGAAAGCTAGCGTAGCTTTACACTTTCTCTCTCACTTTTCTCGCTCTTCTGTCTTTCCTAGCTCCATAACTGAAGACCTAAGTTAAAGACCTGAAGAACTGATCTCCATAACTCGAATTTCATCAAGTCAGATTTCTGAAAGAGATGAAGAGCTGAAGATACAGAGGTGGGGATGGAAAAAATGAAAAGTGGAAGCTGAAGAACTAAAGTGCTGAGATTTTGTGAAGGTAAGAACTGATTTTGAACAACCGAGATTCTGTTTATTCTCTAGTAATATGTAGATCTGCAAATAGTCATTTTGGTTGAATATCTTTTTGTGTTTAGAAGAAATTGATTACTTTGGGGTTCTTACAACTGAAATTCAAAGTAGGGAAAGAAAGTGTCAAAAGTCTGAACCTCAAGTGTAGTTAGTAGGATTCAAGAAGCATACATGTAAGTTATTAATATCTCTGAAGTATTCTTCAATCTGAGGCGCACCAGAAATATCATTTATGCAATTAAAGCAGAGAAGTATACTAGCAGTCGAAGGAAAGTAAAATTCTTGAAAGCTTTAAGAACACCAAGGTTTTTGTTTTTTTAGTAATTGGAGAACACCAGGATAGTAATTAACAATAAAAAATCCTTACACATCGATAAAATAAAAAGCATCCAAAAAGAAATTTACTTTAGCCCCCATTGGTAGGAGTGCTTTGAAGCTGTAACAATGTAAAATTGAAGTCATTCCGCTAGCTTAACATTCAGACAGAATAGCCTAACATTAGAACTTGATTTGTGATCCAGTCAATAGTACAGTGTTACTACAACCTAAGCATTTGAGATAGAGATAAGGAAGCATCCGTGATAGTGATAAGTGTTACGAGCGCCTAAATTTGTGTATGGAAGGAGGAAAATGTCGGTGGATTTTGTGATTTATCTTTTTGGGGTTTTTTTTATGTCTTGGAATTCCATGAAAATATACAGATTCTAATATTGAACCTGGACAAATTCTTTACAATTTTCTTCAAATTAGAGCATGCATAGTGTATGGGCTGCAAAAACTAATTGAAGATGGGGCCTCGGAGTTTAAAACAATGAACAATAACTCAACGATGCTAAGACACTGAGAGGGAGCTAATAAAAAGTAAAAGTACAGTTGACTAAAAATTGCTTTGATTTGGAGGAATCATCTGGTTGTGAGTTTGACTTTCGTTCAAATCATGTATGTATTTTCTGCTTGTTCATCTGTATTTTCTGCTTATTATCATGATCCATGTTTCTTCTAAGATGCATTAGTTCATTTATATCCTTAAATTGATCAGGAGTTGGTGAACTATGTGGTAGCTAGTATATTTTGGTTCATTAGGTTCATTATTCACTTCGATGCAAATTTTGGAGTTGTTACTTGTTAGTTATGTAGATTGATTGAGTCAATGCATATCTTCAAGATGAATTAATATGCTTTGTTTTTATTGTTTTAAAATTTCTGTTTATTTGTTAATGTATCTGCAATATCATTTGATTTCTCCACTTCATTATCGTCAAAGGGGTTTAAATATAAGCATAAATCTTTCCTATTTCCTTCTTTTTTTTCCGAGTCACTGCTCAACACAATAGATGTGTCTAATATCTATTAAATGTGCAAAGGGTGAGCTGCAATCTTCATTCTGCAAAATTAAAATAGATCAGCCTAACTTGTCCATGCCATATCAAACTCTTTTGAATGCATGCACATCTCGATAATTGAAAAACAGCTAATCTAGTTAAACAAACATTTTTAGCATCTGCTGATTGTGGTACCATTTCATAGTATTTTTTTCTCCCATATATCATTGAGGTCTAAATTAATGTACCTTGCAAGTGGAAAAAATAAATCCAAAGATGTACAAAATCTAGAATTCACATCCTGCCTGCTAATCAAATTAACTGCCCGAATGCATGAGATCTATATTAGATTACGAAAAATACAAGTCAAAGAGAAGCACATAATGAGAAAGGAAGCTTTGAAACCTTTTCTGTATGGTTTTACTTTCAAAGAGCGATCAGGTTCATGGGGATTTTCTTCTGCACCTCCTTATTGGTCCTCTTTTCTATTTTATGGAAAGTATTTGCAGTACCATTATTTAAATAACTTTTTTTTTGCTTTAATGTGTGTCTTTACTAATATCTATTCTGTATTGCGATATTCTTGCTGTTTCTGAGCTCTCTTACGTGTTATGCCATCCATTTGTTTATTTTGTAATGGGTTATTCTCACATTGTTCTTAAATTATGAATTTTTATTTTATCATGATGCATAGCTAATCTAATTGGTTCTTGTTATTTTATGAGGATCAACATGTGTTCCTGTGATATAATGTCAATTTCGTTAATTGTTAAATTTCTTAATTTTGTGTCTTTATTGGTCGAACAGATTTGTTTACTAGAGGAATTGATATTCAAGCAGTTAACGTTGTTATCAATTTTGATTTCCCTAAGAACTTAGAAACGTATTTGCACAAGGTATGTATAACAGATCTTTGATCTTGCTTATTCACTTATATATTGTTTTTTCTATTTCATGATTTGTAATTTGTTTTGCAGGTTGGATGATCATGGAGATTTGTGAAGCTTGGTTTAGCTGTTAGCCTGGTTATTTTTGAGGATCACTTCACTTTGTATGTATTAATTATGTTCATTTCTTTTATACTAGATCATTAAGCTCTCTGTGTTGATTTCTGCTACTAGTGATAGTGTATGTCTGACTGTGAGATATAGAATTGAACAAGAACTAGGAATAGAGATCAAAAAAATCCGTTCACATATAGATCAATCTATACATAAAGTCTTCTATGTTAGCTCCCATTGTTTTTTTAAATGATTTGTTGATGAAGTAAATTGAGTTGTTTTGTAGTCCTGGTAGGTTCTGATTATGGGGTGAGTCATGGCAGTTAACTACAGTAGATAAGAAAACTGATAAGAACAGTCTCCATATAAAAGTTGCTACTTAAAAATGCAAAAATAGATTCCTAGCCCTCTCCAACATTTTCTGATGGCACATATAACACTCATCAATGCATGTATTTTCCTACTGTAAAATGCAGTAAATTTTGGACTTGAAAACTAGTTCAACTTGCTTGCTTTAGATCGTTTTAATGGTTCTCTTCCACTTTTAGATTTGTGAAGGCTACATCACAATTGAAGTAAAATTAATGAACTCTTTAAAATCAGGTTTCCAGTAGACCTTATCTCATGATTGTATTAAACTTTCAACACTTCAAGATTCTTGAAAAATTTCCTTATTTTTTGATTAGTTCATTAAATTTTGTGTATCCTATTAATTCACTTTCTTTTTTAATTATTTCTATCCTGTTAAATTTACTTATTTTTCCTTAGAACCATAATCAACATTCAAAAACATTTGTGGAGGATTCAAAGTTTTATTTGGCATAACACAAGTGTCATGACTATGGAAGAAACTATTATCATCTCATAAAACCTGATTTTGGTAACTTAATCATGAATTAAATGATTGTTATTGAAATATAAAATATTGATATCTTCTTATAGGAATGAAAATATCCCATCCAAGGATTGGATTAATTTAGCAAGGTATAGCAAACCCTATATTGATCGTGTGGAATCATTCCTAGATTTTGCTTACTCTTATGGAAATCCTCACGGAGAGGAAATTCACTGTCCATGTGCAAAATGTTGTAACATTCGTTTGACTCGAAGAAATGTAGTGTATGATCATCTAATATGCTATGGATTTGTTAAAGGTGATACTAGATGGATCAATCATAGAGAATGGGATATCAAGTTGAATGTTTAAGATGATATGGATTGCTCACGTGATGATATTGCTGGATTGTTGAATGATCAATTTAGAGATGTTGCACAGGCAGAAGGAGCTTATAATGGTCCAAATGAAGAAGCAAAGAAATACTATAACTTCGTTGTAGAGGCAAGCCATGAATTATATCCTGGTTTTACAGTATTCTCTGAATTGTCATTCACACTTCGTTCATATTTGTTGAAGTTTCTACACACATGGAGCAATGAATCATTCACTTCTCTTTTAGATTAATTAAAAGAGGTGATGCCCGAGTTGAACATTCCTCCCTCTTACAATAAAACCAAGTCTACGGTTAACAATCTTGTCCTTGATTATGATAAAATTGATGCATGTCCAAATGATTGCATGTTATTTAAGAATGATCATAAGGATGATGAATTTTGTCATACTTGCGGAGCTTTATGATAAATTAAAAATTCTGAAGTTGATGGTGAGGTTGAGTCTTAAAAATCACATCGAGTTTCAGCAAAAACTTTGAGACACTTTCCATTAATTCCTACAATCAAAAGGTTATTTATGTGCTCAAAGACGACAAACTCTTTGAGGTTGTATGACGAGGAGCATTCAAAATATGGAGAGTTAAGGAATCCCGCTGATGGTCAAGATGGATCATTTTATAAGTTGCATTCAGATTTCGCACTAGATTCTCACAATGTGAGACTTGGATTAGCAAGTGATGGGTTCAATCCATTACGAACCATGAGTATATGTCATAGCACATGGAAAGTTATGTTGATGATGTATAATCTGCTGCCTTGAATGTGCATAAAATCTGAATACTCTATACTTTCTTTGCTTATACGTGGGCCACGACCACCTGGAAATGACATTGATGTTTACTTACAGCAATTGATAGATGAGTTAAAATTGTTGTGGAATTCTAGGGTTGAAACATATGATGCTTCAAGAAATCAAACTTTTTAAATGCGAGCAGCTATTATGTGGACAATCAATGACTTTCCTTCATATGCTATGTTATCTGGATGAAGTACAAAAGGAAAGTTTGCTTGCCCTTGTTTTAATTATAACACTAATTCTCACTATCTTAAGCATAGTCGGAAAATGTGTTACATGGATCCGTGTTTTTCTACCCACGGATCATCCATGGAGATGTAACAAAAAATCTTTCAATGGAAAAACTGAATTCATGCCTCCTCCACCTTTATTAAAGGAAACTGATGTGCTTCATAACTTACGGTTTTGAAAATGTGTATGGAAAGAAGAGAAAGAGATCAAATTATGGCCCATGGAAAAAAAGGTCAAATTTTTTTGAATTACCTTACTGGCATCACAACTTGTTATGCCATAACCTTGATGTAATGCATATAGAGAAGAACGTAGTTATTAGCATTCTTGGAACTCTTTTGGATATTCCTGGCAAAACAAAGGATCATGCAAAAGCCCGATATGATTTGAAAGAGATGGGAATTAGAACGAATCTTCATCCAAAAGATGCTGGAGATGATAAGAGAACAAAGTTTGCAAAAGCTTGCTTCTCAATAAAAAATGGATAGAAATCCATTTTTTGTGGAGTTTTAAGACAAAAAAGCTACATGATGGCAGTGCCTACCATATATCAAGGTGTGACAGGATGAAAGGAAATTGTCTGGTTATAAGACCAATGATTCTTATTTCATGTTACATTACTTGCTTGCAATACCCATTTAAAGCATACTTCCAGATCATTTGGCTATTGCTTTGATTCGTTTATGTTCCTTCTTCCTGCGTTTGTGTCAAAAAGTTATAACATTGGAGGAATTAGATTACTTATGTAGAGATAAGGGAAACAATAACTCAGTTAGAACGAATTTTTCCTCTGTTAGTTTGTGACATAATGATTCATCTGCCTATTGATTTGGCGAATGAAGTGAGATTAGGTGGTCCATTTCAGAACCGATAGATGTATTCCATTGAAAGAGAAATGGGTATATTTAAGTCATATATCCGCAACAGACGTTATCCAGAATGTTGCATAACGGAGGCACGTGTGGGAATATAGTGTATGAATTTATTTTCAAGATATATGAATGGGGCTATACAAACAAGATTTAATAGAAGAGCCCGAAATATTGATGAATGTGACCCAACTGATGCAAAAACAGTAAGTTATTTTCCTATAAAGGGATGTCCTATAAGAGCAAAGAAAACTTATCCATCATTCCAACTGATTTATTATTTCACTTATCTCTACTTTAAGTAATCTAATTCCTCCGATGTGATAACTTTTTGACACAAACGCTGGAAGATGGAACATAAACGAATCAAAGCATATGATCTAGAATTATTCTTTTAATGGGTATTGAAAGCAAGTAATGTAACATGAAATGAGCATCATGGGTCTTATAACTAGACAATTTCCTTTCATCCAATCACACCTAGATATATTGGAGGCACTACAATCATATAGTTTTGTTGTCTTTAAAACATCACAAAAAATAGATTTCTATCCATTTGTCATTGAGAAGCAAGCTTTTGCAAACTTTGTTCTCTTATCATCTGCAACATCTTTTTGAACGAGATTCTTTCTAATTCCCATCTCTTTCAAATCATACCAGCTTTGGCATGATCCTTTGTTTTGCCAGGAATATCCAAAAGAGTTCCTAGAATGCTATAAATGATATTGAAGAATATATTAGGTACTTTACTTTAATATAGTATTTTCATTTGTATAATTATGTTTTAACATATTTAATTATTTTATCGTTTTAACAAAAAATACATGTTCTGTAGAGAGCATATGCAAGAGATTAATAATCATCTGCGAAGATCTAAATGGAGCAAGGCTAAGGATCATTGTCAAAACTTCTCTCAATGGTTTGAAACCAGTGTTTTGCAAGAGGATGTGCTTTGTTTGATAAAACAACTGTCTAGAGAACCAAATGTTGTTGCTAAAAGATACTCTAGGTAACTCATGAATGGATATAGTTTCCATATTAGGCAGCGTGATACAAGACGCAAAACACAAAGTAATGGTATTACATTTGTTGTCTGAATTACGAGCTTTGCAAGCTTAAAGGATAAGAACCCGACTGCTGCATATTTGACTTATTCTGGTAGAATAGTTGACATAGTTATGTTAGGCTATTATTGTAATTTTAAGGTTGTTCTTTTTAATTGTGATTAATATGTGGTTAAGAAAGATATGTATGCACTAACTTATGTCTATTTTAACAAGAGATGCTATCTAGAAGAGACTTTTGTGCTTGCATCTCAAGTACATCAATGCTTCTCCAAGAGACTTGTTTAACATGCGTGATGAATTTGAATCTTATCTCCCACAAAATTATGAAAATGAGTTGTCTGAACACTTGACGGGACCATCCACACCAGAAGAAGATGGTGAAGTTCCCTTAGTAAGGACTGATATACCAGAAACTGTTATTGATGTGCCTTCAGAGGAATTTGATACTTAACAACTTGAGGTCGAGTATGAAAAGAAGTTTGAAGATGAATCTGAAGAAGAGTATGAAGATGGGTTTGAAGAAGAGTGTGAAGATGAGTCTGAAAAAGAGTATGAAGATGATTCTGAAGATGAGTCTGATGAATCTTAAGACGAATTTGAAGATGACAGTACACCATGATTTGTCTTATTTTTATGATGACCATATAGTGCTAACTCACTCTTTTTGTTATTTAATTGTTTTTGTACAAACATCTTAAGATGTCTATGTATTATGTTTGCTTTGTTTATGTGCCTGATTGTTGTTTGGTCGATAATTTATGTTGACTTCTTTAATTTATGTAATTATTGTTGTGTTGATGAAGCCATAATTTTAGCTTACTGTTATTTTATTTGATTGTATGTTGGCACAACTTGTATAACTAAGGTTAGTAATATCTGGAGTATGCATGTTACATTTATCAAATTACATTCTGATTAGTAAATGTGAATTGATGTTGTCATCTAAATTCTAATTTTTTCCTATCACTATTAGGCATTGCACATTACAGGCAGCACAGTCAAGGCAGTGAAGGCAACACAGTGAAATTAGTCCTCCGTATGTACTACTCCCTTAACTTTCTGGAAGCTAAAGATTGGTTCACTAGTCGTTTTAATTAGCACAGTGAAATCAGTCCTCTTCACTTTGCTGGTTTGCTTTTTCTATTTAACAATAACATGATTATTGTTTGTAGGTTAACTTGTTGTTGGGAATGAAAATAATGATATTAAAAGAAAGCGAACATAATTAGTTAATCAGCAGTACGATTATGCAATACCAATCAAGTAGTGAATTGCCTAACCAATTCAAGATTAAGAGAGAACTACTTTCTAACCAACCCAATGATAAAGATAAGAAAGAGCATGTACCAATAGCGCAAAAAAGAAAGAATTCTGAAGATTTCATTCTACAACAAGAAAATAGTAAGTTGCTTGACATTAAATCAACATTTCAGTCTTCTTCTAGAGAAGAGCTTGGTATTTCACATATAGTTTTTGGGAAAGGACAAACTAAGAAGAGATTATTTCAATGTAGAGAGTCCATTCAAGAAAAAAGAATTAAACTTCCTATGCAAAACATTAGGTTCCAAATGTCTTCCAAGCAAGGTGTTACTGATTCAGTGTATGTGACTGGGGAAACATTTGGTAATTCATAGGTACAACATGGTATTCAAGATCAATAAACTTCAAACATGTGAAGAGGAAGTCTGTCGTACCGGCCACAAGTCTTGATCAGTTTCTAGCAGAACAACGGCTACGGAAAAAACATGATATTAATGATCTACCAAACTGCAAGCAGGTAAAGAAGAAGTCTTTCATACTTGCTACTATTCTTGAATAGTTTCCAAAAAACAATCTATACTTATAGGCGACGAAACAAAATCAGATAACCACACTTAGCAGATAACCGCACAGTTGCTAATGATCTTGTGGATTAAGAAGAAATCAACAAGGATGAGTGTGATATAGATGAGGAAATTGTCATTGATTGTAGTACGGAAGGTATGTCTTAAGCGTTATAAGATTTATTACTTATATAAAAGAAATTTCTTATTTACTTACAATTACATAAATCAAGAAATATTGGGGGCGAAAAAAGTCCGAGGAAAAACGTGTAAAGATATTCACACAAGAAATTTGAAAGAAAGAAACTAGGCGACATTTGATAAAGGGCAAGTAGTGGGACCAACTGGTAAGATAGTGTCCAAATTCACAAACTTTATAGGAACAATTTCAAGGAATCCTAGGTTCATCAACTTGATGTACACTAGTTGGCATGCGGTGACAGAAGATACTAAAAAGCGTATGTGGGAATATATCAACGTAAGAAAAATCAATTTTTAAATTGCATATTTATTGTTTGTTTTTATGGACTGAAGCTACCTATATTTTATTTTACATAGTCCAAATTCATAATTCCAATAGAAGGAAAAGCGTGGGGGATGACTGGTTTTCGTGATACTTGGAAGTGAGAAAAGCAAAAAATCAAAGAGATATTTTTTTATAAAAATAGTACTGTTGAGAACATGCTAGAAAAACGTCCTACTGACTTTGCAGAAGATGAATTCCATCAATGTATCGAGTATTGGAAAGACCCAACTATTTAAGTAAGGCTAAAATAGTACATTTCTACTATTCAACTTATTTTGGATTATATCAATTCTATTTTTGTTTTATTTATTAATTCAAACATCTCTTTTTATATAAATATAGGCCATGTTTGAGATGAATTCTCAAAACAGGAAAAAGTAAAATGGAGGCATTGAATGGGACCTATTAGTTTTGCAAGAGTACGCGTGGCATTGGGAATACTTATCATTTACGGGCATATACTTTTAATCCATTTGTATTACTCCAATAGATTGATACATTTTTAAATATCCTTTTATATAATTTGTAGCGTGCAAACAAAGAAAATAATGAGGAACCATCAAAGTCTGAAATGTTTATTGCGACTCGTACAAAGACGGGAAAGGAACTTTAGTACGATACTCAAATTGCAATAGTATGTTTTTTAAAGTGTATTAATGATGAATTTAATTCAGGTTTAAAAATTTTACATTGTTTGGACGGCGATAATTTATTTTAATATGCTAGAAGGGATGTCAATTGAAGTTAACTTAATGATCCATAAACTCATTTAAGCTAGATAGAAATTAGAACTACTTGCATATAATATGGATGTCAATTTTATTCAATAGGCTGAACTTCAGAATCGGCGAAATTTAGGGGAAACTGCAGATGATGCTTTTATGGAAGTGTTTGGTTAGGAGCAGCTTGGTCAACTTAGGTGCTATGGTAGATCAGTGAAAGCACGTTCTTTGAAGAAAGATGAGGAAGATATCAAGCTAAAACAAAAACATACCAATGAAATCACTTCTCTGAAAGAAGAAATGAATTAAATGAGAGAAGAAATGAGAGAAGAAACGCGACATGTTTTTAGTCAATTGCTTCAAAACAACCCTAGATTGAATGTTCTAGGTAGGAAAGGGTGTGTTGTATATAACATTGCTTCACCTATTGATGTGGGTAGTGCACAAGCTGTAAAAGGCCAAAATCCTCTACAATCATCCGGGTCAACTCATGATCCGATTCTTCAAAACGTATTTAGTACTTTTTCAAATTAGTCCTCTCAATTTCTCAGAAAATCTTCTTTTTTTTAATTCGATTATTGATTAACTTCATGTTTGAATCATTCAAAGTAGCTTGAAATATGTTCTAGTCTTATAGGGATCCTCCAATAATGTGAAATCCGTGTCGAAGTAGAAAAAGAGGTCTTTCCACAAATCAAGGCTGCAGAGGTATGTGTTAGTTGACTGATATCAAGTTATATCCCAGTGAATTAGGTTCCTCTCTGGATACATGAAATAGGTGCATTAACTTCCATATATAAAGATCTCTATTAAACTTTGGCTACTTTTTGCCTCGCTCTGATTAGTATGAAGTAACTCTGAACTTGTTACACATTCTCGATATTGTTTTGAATATTATTGAATGGTGGTGAAACACTCTAAATATGAATGAGTTTTATCTCTTTAGTTATTGTTAGTGGCATTGGTTTGAATTGAGCTAAGGTTTTTCTTCTCTTGTTTCACTTTTCATCTTTCTTGTTTGGTATGGTTGAAGTCTAGTTTTGCTATGTGAGATTTAGTTTCCTTGTTCGATCATGTGGCACATATTAACTACACAAGGAAACTAATCTAATTTTCTTTTATTGTTGCTGCTGTTGTAATCTACAATCTGGACTTTTCTCTGTTTAGTTGTTGTTGATGTATTTGGTTTGAATTGAGCTTAGGTTTTGCTTCTCTTGTTTCACTGGTTTTTTGGAATTTGTATAGAACATTACAACATGCTATGGGTCTGTACTGGCTTGAAAATTGAGGATGTTCTACCATTGGAATTAGAACAATCATGTTGTGTTTATCTGACTAAGGAGTTGTCCATTCTCTAAGAATTCAAGTATAGCAGTAGTTACCTCCTCACCTACAATTTTCTATGATGATTTGATCAACGAAAAGAAAAACCTTAAAATCTTCAATATGCAAATACCTTAGAATAACCTAGCAAAGAGAAATACCTTAGAATAACCTCCCAATATAATGGTATGTATAAACCTTTGCAAATAAACTTCTGCAAGGTATGGAATCAGCAATCTGCAGATTTGACGTGTTTTGGAACTGCTGCTGCACTCTGTAGATTTGTCAATGTTAATGTTTTTTGTAACTGCTGCTGCAATCTGTAGATTTGTTCATTTCATGCTCTATATAAGTTCTTGGGTTGTTCCCATTATAAAACAACTAAAAGATTCTTTTAGACAGAACTATCTATTTTCTATATGGATGCATAGTACTCTTGATATTCACAGACAAAATCACTATGCCTTTTGTACTTCTATATATAAATATTTTTGTCAGTAAAGTCTTTATTTTCTTTCTTATTGCATATAATATCCATGTTATCACCCATAACTTTTGACATCCTAGTAGAAGGTATGCTTCCATAACTACAAACAAATAGACAAATAATTATTAGGAGAATCTAATTGTTTGTGTCTCCTCATTCCTTTTTTTTAGTGTTCGTTTTATTTTTCATGAATCATGGTTATTGTATAACACCAAATATATTATATTGTTTCTTATTAAATTTAAACCCTAATGCAATTGTTCGTTATTGTTGAACTCATTTCGAACTCTAGACAC